CCCATTTGCATGTCGACCATCGACTCGCAACTAAGGGTGTGTGTGTGTTTGTCTATGTGTGTTTGTCGAGGGTCCCCAGTTGCAAGCACACCATGAACTCGCAACTAGGTGAGTCAGTGTTTTTTCGAGGCTCCCCAGTTTCATGTCGACTATCGACTCGCAACTAAGGGTGTGTGTGTGTAGAGGGTCTCCAATTGCATGTCTACCATCAACTCGCAACTAAGGGTGTGTGTGTGTAGAGGGTCTCCAATTGCATGTCTACCATCAACTCGCAACTAAGGGTGTGTGTGTGTGCTTGTCGAGGGTCCCCAGTTGCATGTCAATTATCGACTCGCAACTATGGGGGTGTGTCTTTGTCGAGGGTCTCCGGTCGCATGTCGATCATTGACTCGCAACTAGGAGTGTGTATATTTGTCGAGGGTCCCCGGTTGCAAGCCAACCATCAAACTCGCAACAAAGGGGTGTGTGTGTCTGTCGAAGGTCCCCGGTTGCATGAAAAACATGGACTCGCAACTAGGGGTTGTGTATTTTATTTTTTTAACATATATTAGAACTGAAAGAAAACTACACCTGAAAGAAAAAGAAAAAAATAGAAAATAAAAGAAACAAAAGGAATAGAAAGCACAAATCGTTACTACTACGATCGGCTACAGGCCGTAGAGTGAGCAGGCGTGTGAGGCACGCTGGGCCTTGCCCATGTGAGCGTGCTATGGTCACGCTGGTCACACAAAAAAGAAAAGACAAGGCCCTGGCGATATACAATAAGAGAAAAGAAAAACAACAAACAAACAAAAAGCTATAAACATATGATGATTTTAACTTAGATGTCACATCTAGACGTGTCCTAGACGGACCTTTAAAAATTCCCCTCCCACCACGTGGGTTGTCGTGTGTGACCGTCGACTATATAAGCTCCACTAGACACTAGACAGATCAGGACCAGCTCGTGGTACTCATTTGTTGCCAAGCAAACAGCCGCACTTCACTCACTGCTTCGCCACTGACCGACCGTCCACCACCATGCCAACTCCAGCGAGCCTTGTCCACTCTAGCTCTAGCACCGCCGCCGCTGCCTCCTCATCTTCGTCGTCGGCGCCGGCGGCCATGATCTCCATCGACCCCAACATGGTGGTCATCCTGGCCGCCCTCCTCTGCGCGCTCGTCTGCCTCGCCGGCCTCGCCCTCGTCGCGCGCTGCACCTGCCGCCACGCCCGCCGCTCTTCACCGTTCGCCGGCAATAGCATCACCATGACCTTGCCTCTTCCTCCCCGAGGCCTGAAGAAGAAGGCCATCGACGCGCTCCCCGTCACGGCAGTGAAGGAAGGGCACCAGCTGGAGGAGCAGTGCGCCATCTGCCTGGCGGACCTGGTCGCCGGGGAGGAGCTCCGGGTGCTGCCGCGGTGCGGCCACTCCTTCCACGTCGCCTGCGTCGACGCCTGGCTCCGAACGTGCGCCACCTGCCCCTCCTGCCGCGCCACCATCCTCGATTCGTCAGTGTCCTCCTCGTCCTGCTCGCCGCCGGCGCCACCGCTCGCAGCCCCGGGCCGGTGCCGGAGCTGTGGAGCGGCCTGTGACGGCGACAGCGTGGCCACTTCTGCTTCTGCTGACACGGACGGGAGCAGCTTCTTGCCGTAGCTGTCACTGGACAACATCGATCCTAGCTACAGTAGTTGCAAACTTGCAATGGTTGTTAGTGCAATTCAGTTAGCTATGAATTGCATTTGCCTATAGTGAAAGAAAGAAAATTAGTGTGCTTCAGTGGTAAGAGTTATCATGATACTTGAATTGTACATATGTATTCAATATAATATTTGAGATATATTCTCCAGTTCGATCTGGCCAAATCTGTATCCAATGGACTTACCTACTTAAGATGGTGCATTAACATTGAATAGTACAATTTGTATCGAGTTACCACTCAGACCAATGTTACATCGATCGATGATGTTCCTTCTTGAAGGCGTAGCCTAGGAGTTGTCTTTTTCTCTTTTTTTTTCGGGCCGATGATTTGGCTGCTCGCTTTTGCACTATTAATAAGATATGGTTGCATGCATCGACGTGATGCAGAGACCTGGGATATCCTCCTTTTCAAAAAAAAAATCTACTACTCCCTCTGTTCGGGAATAAGTGGTGTGTTCAAATTTAAACTAAAACCACGCAGTTATTCCAGACGATTATGCTGGTAATATAAGTAATCATGCACTTTTTCAATGGAGAGATGAGACACATCACACATACAGTATAATTTGATGGAATGTATGATTCGCGCTAGCTAAGCTAGTGGCTAGTTCACCGGGACTAGGAGAGCTAAGGAGATTCTCTTTTGCTGCTGGCCGGTGCTTTACACTTGCTGAATCAATTTGTAGCCCAAGCCTAGCCTGGCTATTGGCTGGGTTTCAGTTGACCTCCGAAAGCAACAAAGAAAAAGAAACGGAGGAGACAGCAGTTGAGTTTTGAGCCGTTGCAAGTGCGACCCCATTACAGTGCCACAACATCTCCCAGCCCCTGGTTTAATCCCACCACTTGAGAATATTAATCATACACCGCATCAAATTGACAAAGGTGTAACTTTTGTTTTACAGCACAGCCCAATACATATGTATAGTTAATTGGGGATCATAACCGCTCAAAAAACAATTGGAGAGTGTACATATAGCTCAAAGTTTCTTAGTTTACAAGAAGTATTTCACATGCTTTCTCCGCGCCGGCTCCCCCGACTGCTGGCGCATATAGTGGGCAATAACTCGTTAATTGTCCACGGTTGCCATCCATGGGTCTAGGGCCATTTTGTGCCATTGGATGTACAATTTTCTTTTTTTTTCTTTTTTTTATCCAATTTAATTTTTCTTTATCTTTTTGCTTCACCTTTTCTTTTTTTCATCTATCCTTTTCCATCTATTTTTTCTTATGTTTTACCTATTTTTTAATATAAATATTTAGACAAAGACATGAATATTTTCTAACGTGTGAACTGTTTTGAAAATTACATGAAAATTCAGCTGAAACAAATACCAAATATTTTTGAAGGTTCAATATTTTTTGAAGTAACATGAACATTTTAGAATATTAAATGATTTTTTTTTCTGAAAATGGTAATCACCTAAAAATTTCCAAAATACGTCGACACTTCAAACAACTTTCACACTTTCTGTCTTATTAGCTGATTATATAAGTACAAATATCAATTCATTTGGAGATAAAATAATAAGTGAAAAAACATAAAAAATTATGGGCAGCAACAAGTCCGCCCATTAGCATCGGTTGTACGCGGCCCTTTCGGTCACCGGGTTTGATATCAGTCTGGAGGGCTCCTATTGGGCGCATTACGCGTCAAATTACTTACTAGCCAATCTCTCTCAAGGTAACGCCTGACTGGGTCGGCCCATTGTGGTGCTGTAGCAGAGCGGCTATTATAGCTTTCGATTATTTAAAATTTTAACAATTTAGTTTAACGAAAAGCATGTACAAAAGTATCAATCCTGTTTTTAAACTTCCATTTTTTTAAACGTGTGCATATTTCTCGAAAGAACGAACATTTTTTTAAAAAAATTCTTAAATAATTGATTTTCTTCAAAAAGCAATCTTCTTTTCCAATTTGTACGTATTTTCAAAATTTAATAATTCCTCTGATTCATATTCATTGTCGCTGATTTAGTACAAGTTTTGAACATTTGTACCACTTTTTAGTAAATCATAAATAATTAATATAGATTGGAGGGAGTTAGAATTTTATTTAAAAAGGGATATTTTTTAAATTGATGAACCTTTCCGGAAACCTGATTGTGTTTTTTAATATGTGAGAATAAATTGATGACGGGATTTTTTTGAAAATGATATTTATTTTTGAATACCTAAATTGTATTTGAAACATGAACAGTTTTTGAAGTTGTGAATAAATTTTGAAATGGAAATATTTTTGAAATTTTGAAAAATATTTGGAAAGAGAAACAGTTTTAAAAATTATTATTTTGGTATTTGTAAACATATTAAAATTTATGAACATTTTCTAGAATGGAAATATTTTAAAGGAAAAATGAAACGGAAGAAAACCGGTGAAAGAAACAACAGGAAACAAAAAAATAGGACCTAAACCGGTCAGGAACCTAGAAGGTTCCCAAAACCGGAAAGATGGTCCTATTCTCCAAGCATTAAATGGGTCAGCCCAGCTTTGTAGCTCCTACACGACGCGCCGACTACTTTACGCAATATGAGTCATATATTATTTGCCATCAGCAGTGTTTGTTCGTTTGTTTCTGGGTTGAGCAGTGTTCACTTTTGTGCCCTTGTTGTGGCGCCTGATAGCCATATGAATTGGGACACATGTGACCGCACAATGCAAAGTAGAAGGTCAACCACTCAGAACCGAGGACATGGCGACGCATCATGCGTGAGCTCTCTGAGCAGGTCATTTATATCGAACTCCCGTGTGCACTGACGAAAGCCCCCACCCTGCATGGATGACACGGTCAAAATCATAAGTAGAATCAGAAATTAGGCACCTCAATTGACTGTGAGAGCTCTAAAATTAGGAAGCATATTAAATTTAAAGATTACACATCCATTCCCCTTTGTTAGAAACCTAAAACCGGATGGGCTAAACTCTATTTCGTACTATCAATTTATGAGATGTTTACCGTTGGCCAGGTCACTCCCACTGAGGGTTCAAATGTTCAATGAAATTTCAGTAATAGAGGTGGTATGAAAAAATTTGTGACCTTGAAAGTACGGGCAAGACAAAAACTTAGTTCAAGCCAACTTTAAGTTATGCTAAATTTCCTTGAAATCCAAAACAATTTGAAATTTTGGATATCTTGGCGAGGTCCTGGATTTTCATGTTACCGAAATTGTCAACCTTGCCCCCACATGCAAATTAACCCATACTTGGGCCATCTTAATTACGTTCACCATTCAATTTAAATTCTTGTTTCTCCAGATACCGGTCTTCTGG